ACCATACCAGGCTTGAGGATACCAGTCTCAACACGACCAACAGGGACAGTTCCAATGCCACCAATCTTGTAGACATCCTGAAGTGGGAGACGAAGAGGCTTGTCTGAGGGTCTCTTGGGCTCCTGGATCAAGTCAAGAGCCTCAAGGAGGGTAGGACCCTTGTACCAGTCAAGGTTTGTAGACCTCTCAATCATGTTGTCACCCTCAAAACCAGAGATGGGGACAAATGGGATCTTGTCAGGGTTGTAACCAACCTTCTTCAAGTAGGATGAGACTTCCTTAACAATTTCATCATACCTTGCCTTGGAGTATTTTGGAGTTGTGGCATCCATCTGAATCCAGGGCATAAGAAAAATCAATTAGCATAATAATGTCAAGTATTAAACAGATAACTGAGGAAATCAATATGATACAGTGATAACTAGCTAGAAAAGCCAACCTTATTGCAACAGCAGATCATCTGCTTCACACCAAGGGTAAAGGCAAGCAAAGCATGCTCACGGGTCTGACCATCCTTGGAGATACCAGCTTCAAAACCACCAGTGGTGGAGTCAATAATCAGAACAGCACAGTCAGCCTGTGAGGTACCAGTAATCATGTTCTTGATAAAGTCACGGTGTCCAGGAGCATCAATGACAGTGCAGTAGTACTTGGTGGTCTCAAACTTCCAGAGAGCAATATCAATGGTGATACCACGCTCACGCTCAGCCTTAAGCTTGTCCAGCACCCAGGCATACTTGAATGATCTTTTGTTCATCTCAGCAGCCTCCTTCTCAAATCTCTCAATCACACGCTTGTCAATACCACCAAGCTTGTAGATCAAGTGACCAGTAGTGGTTGACTTGCCAGAATCGACGTGGCCAATGACCACAATGTTAATGTGAACCTTCTCCTTACCCATTATAAAAATCTGGAAAAAAAAACTGAAATTAACAAAAATATCAATAAATGAAATCCTCATTCCCCCATTCCAACTAAAAAAAAAACCAAATGATCCACAGATTTCACCCAAAATTTCTATCAAAAAACTAAACAGTAAAAATCAAATCTCAGCATTTGAAGCATACACTAATGGTACACAAACTTATCATACATTATTCACCGTATAATTAAGTTTCCCAATCATCATCAATTATTAGATCAAGGAATATGAATCAAATTCAAATAATCAGAGTGGCAACTGGGATTCGAGCCCAGGTCTCCACAAAATGGAGTTCTTTCCATTGAACTAGAGCCACAACAACAATACATATTTTAACCCATCAAAACAATTTAGCCTAAGGATAGCCGATAACAAACAACGGTACAAGATTATCAAGCAAAACCCAAAGGCCAAATTTGTTCCTAGATGGGTTTTCAAAAAATACATGCCTGTGAATTTTAAGATCAAGTCTTTCCAGATATCAATTTCCATGATTAAAAGAAATTAAATCTGTCAAACATCTGCCAGAAACAAAATCATTTGGAGTTTCAATAAACATGGAGAACAGGTAATATCAGATCTCAAACCAAACAACAACTAGAATAAGATCAAAATCTTCAACACACATCTCAATCATGTCTTTGGTGCTAAAAGATCTAATCAGACAATAAACATCGAGCAAAAAGATCAGGAAAATGAATAAGACAGAACAGACAAACAGTGCCACACAGTCGAGAAATATATACAAAAACCCAACGAAATCTGCTATCGTTGAAATCAGAGCAACATGCTAAAGAAAGATTGATGTTTATACCTCTAAACTAAGAAATGGAGTCTTGAAATCGATAGACTGGGAACCCTCGAGCTGTAGAAGCGTGGACAGTGAGAGAAAGAGGGCTGCTTCAGCTTAAGTACTGGTGTTCGGGGTCTGCAAGAATTAGGGTTTCTCTTTCAGCCGTTGGATTACTTGATCGCACGGTCCTAGATTGAGAATTAGCCTCAGCCGTTCAGGGTTTTGTTACTTCATCGTTCGTTCAGATCCTTCCACGTCATCAGTCAATATCTTTTCCTTTTTTTTTTTTTTTTAAATTAAGCCCCAAGTTAGTCCTTGAATTTGCTTTATTTTTAATTTAGCTCTGAATTTAGTTTATGACCAATTAAGCCCCTTAGCTCCACATTAACTTTTTCAATTCAGTCTTTTTCATATGAATTGTTCTGAATGCACTTATAATTTGTTTAGTTTGAAAGAAATAAGCAGAAGGCAGAGGAGATAACATTTTTTCAACTAAATGTCTTTTTAACAGATGCCTAAGAGTATATGTTA